GTGGGAGGAAATTGGAGTACCCAGAGCAACTGAGTACTGTCCAAGATACTTTTTTAAAAAAATTGCACTAACATCCAATTTTTTAGGACAAGCTTCCGGGGTGTGTCTCTATCTTCAAGGCCCAAGCAGTATTACAGACAGTACTCAGTTGTTCTTGTTGCAAATGCACTAATACATCTACAATGACCTCAAAAGGGAGTATCCAGAGGAAAGGTACACTATAACAAAGAGAACATGAAAACCCCATGGCGATAGTATTCTGACTGGGACTCTAACTGCAATCAGGTGACACAGTGAGGCACTTACCTAGGTAATATCGGGATCTGTCTAATTTAGCAAAATACACCTGCACTCTTGGAAATCCAAATGCAACAGCTTTGCAACCATCTGCGATAGATTTATCACATCACGTGCATCCGTTTTCACCTTAAAGTGGTTGTAAAGGCTCAGAGTTTTTTAATTAAAATAACATGTTATACTTATCTGTATATAGTTTTGCACAGAATGACCCTGAACCTCCTCTTCTGTGGTCCCCTGTTGGTGCTGCTCACTTTTCCTCTTCTGTGTCTGCCCCCATTGCAAGAACTTGATATGGGGGCAGACATGAGGGCTCACTTCTGAACCGGGCACTCTGTGTCCATAGACACATCACTGCTCACCCCACCCCCCACTCCCTCCCTACAGGATTTGATTGACAACTAGAAAAGCTACAATTTCTGGGGAAATTGTGTGAAGTGTTCTTGCCTCCACCAGTAGTCTACAACTGGAGTGGGCAGAGTAACTGGGTGGAGTGGCTTGTCACTCTGCTGCCTGCTCACACACCTGGGTTCCTATGGCAACTCACTGTACAGCAAGGGCAGAGAAGAGTGGTTAAAAACAAACTGCTCCAACTTGCTCACTTCACAGGCGGTTGCCATCTTCAGACAGTTGTAGCTTACAAATGATAAATCCTACACTGGAGAGCTTTATATTGTGAGAATCACAAGACCCAGACCTACATTTTGATGCATAGTATGTCTCTGAAATATTAAAACTGAAGGCACAGTCGCAGTTTAGCACAGGCACTGCAAACACCCACTATTTGTTTCTCGAGCGCCAGCCGTTCCTGGAGGGTTTCAGTCAGGTCAGTGCCGCCGACCGTTTCCTTGTGCAGATAACGGTCCTGGAGACTGATGGCTCCTCTTCTGTCACCTCAGAAGCTGCCACTAGAACGAAGGAAGTGAGAGAGTGAGCAAGCCCTTCTTCTCATTCTTCTTCTTCCATAGTCCCAGGCTCAGCACCGGAGGGTGAGAGACATTCGCTGTGAGGCTCCTGGTGCACACTGTAGCCCACAGACCCACCACCTGGATGGATCATTGCTGCACAGTGAAAGTCTGCCCACTCAGAGGGATACTACCCACCTGGATGATAGGGGGACCCCTAGAAGACGAGGACCACCTACACCAGCTTCATACTACCTAGCATTAGAGGGAAGACCACCCACTATCTGATGACATGTGGATTATTTACATAAAGCGCAGTAAACATGCGTGTCTGGTGAGTGAGCATTACCTTCACCATTATTGCACTGATACCGGACCATAGAGTTACCAGAGCACAAGAGTCACTTTACCTGGTTCACATCATTTGAACTTTTATATATATATATATATATATATATGGAGAAGGGATACTCATCCATACCAATTCTTAATATATATTCATCTGTTTTTGGTTATTTTAGCGTTGCACTCTTTTGTATATATTGATGTTCTAGTGTGATATTGGTTACCTTTTTGTGCATAGCAGCTTCTATCTATATCGAAGCGCTTACACTCTTATTTTACGCAGTTTAGAAATTGCCCTTCAAATTTGAGGTGGCTAGAGTGGAGTTTCAATGAATGTCATTGGGCGGCATGAGTTGCAAACAAATGGTCATATTGTGAAAACTATAAGGACTATGGCTTAGCCGTGGGCATTTTTAGTGGCAGCAGGGATAGCTGAACATTTTGATATAAGATTTGTGTAGGTGGGCTTGAAAATGAGGGAGTGGTGGCAGTTTAGAAATCATGTCCTGATTTTTCAGCTCACACTCTATCTTTTGTCAGCTCCCACTCTAGTTTTGAACATTCTGCCATTCATTCCTATGAGACCAATTTCACCACAAAAACGCTGATATTTCGTGAACCATTCGGCGAAACGTTCCACAAAGTAATAGTACACCAATCAGGAACAATCTGCACGTTTCGGTATATTACTGTCTATGTAGTGTAAAAACTGTGGGAGGAGTTAGGGTGGTAAATTTGGATATAATAATAAGAATATATATGTGAGATAACAGTAAGTGGTCTTGCCATGCAAGAACACAATAATAGGAGCCACTTGCTCCCACTGCTGTCTCTGTGCCTGCGAGAAGAGAGAGAGAGAACAGTGATACTGCTCTTGGGCATAGTGCTGGATTGAAAGAGGAGCAAGGTAAGTATTTAGGGGGCTCTGGGGGGAAATTATACTGTTTTTCACCTTAATATGTATAATGCATTAAATTAAGCTAAAAAAAAACCCTTAAACCTTTAGAACCACTTTAAACTACATGTGCACTTATTCTTTAGAATGGCGTGCTAATATTGAGCATGAGATGGACAAATTTATGAATCAAACTATGATCTTACAATAAAATTCATTCATATTCTCACTGTTTCTGTTTTGTGCTGTCTTGCTGTATGACATACTTTGGAAAAAAAAACGTTTTATGTTTTAAATGCTACTACATAGTTAAACAGTTAATTGGATTAGAAAAAGGCACAGGACAGGCTCAGCTTCCAACAGGCAAATTAACATTGGGCGATTGCTGACATTTTTATTTTATGGGAGAGTAAATGCTTGATTTTGGGAATTAAATATGACCCTACTGTATTTAGTAATTGCAATGGTAGATGCCATTACTTGTAAGAAAAGCATGCAATCATGTTTACTTTCATACTGAACTGATGTCCCCTTGTCCTTCATATGTTCTTCAGAGATCAGACAGTCATTTGCTAAATTTGAATTAAAGTGCACTGCTCAAAAAAATTAAAGGAACACATTGAAAACACATGGGATCTCAATGGGGAAAAATATCATGCTGGGTATCTATACTGATATGGACTGGGTAATGTGTTAGGATCATAAAAATGCCCCATCGTTTGATGGGAATGAAAATGATCAACCTACAGAGGACTGAATTCACAGACACCCCAAAAATCAAAGTGAAGAAATTATGCAGCAGGCTAGTCCATTTTGCTAAAATTACATTGCAACAACTCAAAATGGTACTCAGCATTTTGTATGGCTCCACATGCTTGTATGCATGCCTGACAATGTCGGACCATGCTCCTAATGAGATGATGGATGGTGTCCTGGGGTATTTCCTCCCAGATCTGGACCAGGGCATCAGTGACCTCCTGGACAGCATGAGGTGCATCCTGGTGGCGTTGGATGTACTGAAACATGATATCTCAGAGGTGTTCTTTTGGATTTAGGTCAGATGAGCATGGTTGCCATTCAATGGTATCAATTCCTTCATCCTCCAGGAACTGCCTGCAGACTCTCGCCACATGAGAATGGGCAGCATTGTTGTGCACCAGGAGGAACCCAGGACCCACTGCACCAGCGTGGGGTCTGACAATGGGTCCAAGGATTTCATCCTAATGGCAGTCAGGATGTCATTGTCTAGCCTGTAGAGGTCTGTGTGTCCCTCCATGGCTATGCCTCCCCAGATTATCACTGACCCACCACCAAACTGGTCATGCTGAACCATGTTACAGGCAGCATAACATTCTCCACGACTTCTCCAGACCCTTTCACGTCTTTCACATGTGCTCAGGGTGAACCTGCTCTCATCTGTGAAAAGCACAGGGCGCCAGTGGTGGATCTGCCAATTCTGGTGTTCAATAGCAAATGCCAATCAAGCTCTATGGTTCCAGGCAGTGAGCACAGGGGCCACTAGAGGATGTCGGGCCCTCAGGCCACCCTCATGAAGTCTGTTTCTGATTGTTTGGCCAGAGACATTCACACCAGTGGCCTGCTGGAAGTCATTTTGTGGGGCTCTGGCAGTGCTCATCCTGTTCCTCCTTGCACAAAGGAGCAGATACTGGTCCTTCTGATGGGTTAAGGACCTTCTACGGCCCTGTCCAGCTCTCCTAGATTAACTGCCTGTCTGCCTGTGCAACCTCTGCAGGGTCCAGGTATCGCCTCATGCTACCATTAGTGACGCTGACCTTAGCCAAATGCAAAACTGGTGAGAAACAGTCAGAAAGGATGAGTAAGGAAAAAAATGTCACTGGCTTCCACCTGTAAAACCTTTCATGTGTTGGGGGCCGTCTCATTGTTCGCCATTTAGTGCACATGTTATTAATTTCATTATCACCAAAGCAGCTGAAACTGATTAACAACCCCCTCTGCTACTTAACTGACCAGATCAATATCCCAGGAGTTTAATTGACTTGATGCTATACTCTGATTAAAAAGTGCTTCTTCTTTTAAGCAGTGTATAACTAAAACCAAGACCATAAATGCATCATATTGCAGCTTACAGTCCTTAGATGTGGTGGCTACCCTGGTTTCCTTTTTTATATTAGGAACATTTTCATCTAATACAGAGAATATGTGTTGATATTGCCAGAAATGCAGTGTCCTTGTCACTGTGAGCTGCACTGAAGAATATTTTTTCTTCCTAGATATCTTCTGTACCAATTACCCTGCCGTCTATGTACTGTAAATTAAGAGATACAAACATGTTTGTAGTTAATATCGGAAGATCGATCTAGGGTGACAACCATGGCTCCCTCCCAGGGGCGGACTAACAATTTATGGGGCTCCGGGGCAATAGGGGATCATGGGGCCCTTGTGTCCTTCCCCAAACTCAAAAAAGCCTATGAAAAAGGTACCAGGGGCATCTCATGGAGCCCCCTACTGACCCCGGGCCCTCGGGCAGTTTCCGAGTTTCCAAATGGTCAGTCCGCCCCTGCTCCCTCCTTAGATACAGTGGAGGAGTTACGTAGCCACCTAGGGACATGAAATTAATTATCAGGTGAAAATCAAGAAAGAAGTGTCACAAAAAAGAAAACAAATGCAACCACCACACCAAGGACTAGTAAGCTGAAATATATAAAAAATTTTGTTGTGGGTTTAGATAGACTTTAACCTTGGAAACAATTACACCTATTTATTACTGTACTTCACTTTTTATGATGTCTTTTTTCCTAAACAAGCTCAGTTTTTCAAATAGTTCATTACAAGTGAAACCACCAGTCCATTTTATTAGCTGCCTGCCATTGTACCCTGCCCAAATCTTCTTTACTCTTTTCATAGTATGGTGGCCAATTCTCTTTTTTTTATATTATATTTCTTAATACATATTTAACACCTTTTTCACAGCCAATCACATGATTTCCAAATCAAAAAGCTTGTATCCAGTATTAACAATTGTTTTGCTACCAATAATACAGTTGCAAGAAAAAGTATGTGAACCCCTTGGGATTACATGGAGTTTTGCATGAATTGGGCATAAAATGTGCTCTGAACGTCATCTAAGTCACAACAATAGAAGAACATGGTCTGCTGAACATAATACTACACAAACATTAGATGTTGCCATGGTTTCATTGCACATAACATGTAAACATTCACAGTGCAGGAAGGAAAAAGTATGTGAACCTTTGGACTTAATAACTGGTTGACCCTCCTTTGGCAGCAATAACCTCAACCAAACGTTTCCTGTAGTTGCAGATCAGACCTGCACAACGATCTGGAGTAATTTTGGACCACTCCTCTTCACAAAACTGTTTCAGTGTAGCAATATTCTTGGGATGTCTGGTGTGAATCGCTCTCTTAAGGTCATGCCACAGCATTTCAATCGGGTTGAGGTCAGGACTCTGACTGGGCCACTCCAGAAGGCGTATTCTGTGCTGTTGCAGCCATTGTTTTGTTGAATTACTTGTATGCTTTGGGTCATTGTCCTGTTGCATCACCCATCCTCTGCGGAGCTTCAGTTGGCGGACAGATGGTCGCACGTTTTCCTGCAAAATGTCTTGATAAACTCTGGAATTCATTTTCCCATCAATGACAACAATCCGTCCAGGCCCTGAGGCAGCAAAGCAGCCCCAAACCATGATGCTCCCTCCGCCATGTTTTACAGTGGGGATGAGGTTTTGATGTTGGTGTGCTGCGCCTTTTTTTCTCCACACATAGTGTTGTGTGTTCTTCCCAAACAACTCAATCTTGGTTTCATCTGTCCACAGTATATTTTGCCAGCAGTGCTGTGGAACATCCAGGTGCTCTTTTGAAAACTTCAAACGTGCTGCAATATTCTTTTTGGACAGCAATGGCTTCCTCCGTGGTGTCCTCCCATGTACTCCATTCTTGTTTGATGTTTTCCTTATTGTAGATGTGTCAACAAAAATGTTAGCATGTGCCAGAGATTTCTGTAGGTCTTTAGCTGACACTCTGGGATTCTTCTTTACCTCATGCAGCATTCTGCGCTGTGCTCTTGCAGTCATTTTTACAGGACGACCGCGCCTAGGGAGAGTAGCAACAGTGCTAAACTTTCTCCATTTGTAGACAGTCTGTCTTACCGTGGACACATGAACATCAAGGCTTTTGGAGATACTTTTGTAACCCTTTCCAGCTTCATGCAAGTCAACAATTCTTGATCGTAGGTCTTCTCAGAGCTCTTTTCTGCGAGGCATGGTTCACATCAGACAGTGCTTCTCGAAACCAGTAAACCCAAAACAGGTGTGTGTTTTTTTAAGGGCAGGACAGCTGTCAGCAACACATCCAATATCATCACACTGATTGGAGTCAAGGTTGGCTCACTACTGGCTCCAATTAGCTCTGGGAGAAGTCATTAAGCTAGGGCCTCACATACTTTTTCCTCCCTGCACTGTGAATGTTTACATGCTATGTGCAATTAAACCATGGCAACATCTAATGTTTGTGTAGTATTATGTTCAGCAGACTGTGTTCTTCTATTGTTGTGACTTAGATGACGTTCAGAGCACATTTTTATGCCCAATTCATGCAAAACTCCACGTAATCCCAAGGGGTTCACATACTTTTTCTTGCAACTGTACATATATAAGTCATAAGTTGTCAATTTATAACTTCAACTAAATATCATTCCGCATGAATACTACAAGTCTTAGTACATGCAAAAAGAAAAAGGAAAGGGAAAAGGACAAGGAAAAAGAAAAGGAAAAAGAACAGGGAAGGAAAGAGAAAAGGAAAAAGAACAGAAAAGGAAAGGAAAGGGAGAGGAAAAAAAAAGGAAAGGAAAAGGAAAGTGAACACAAGGAAAAGGAAAGGAAGGAAAAATACCTTCACAGGAAATAAAAACACACAGGGAAAAAACCCTCCCACTGCACCATCTCCTGGCAGTTAATTATTCCATTCTTTGTAGATACTGCATTTAATCCACCCATTCCCCAAAGTTTGGTGGGGAAGAAGACTTCCAATAGTATAATCTTGATATAATTGGTCTAGCAGCCATCAAGATAACATGTGAAAGACCCTCTTTAGCTTCTTTTATAGAGCCTGAGAAAATAGATAATAGTTATCTGTGGGACACAAGCTATTTGAGTATCTATCTAGTATATGACCAAATACAGTATATCAAATATAGATGACCAAAATGATTGGACATGACCACCACAGACACAGAAACAAACTTAAATAACATTGATACCAGCAACAAACATTAAACACATGAGAATATATAGTATGCAATCTAACAGAATATTGCTTCCATCTAGATAGAAACTTAAAATTCTTGTATCCTGCTGGTGATAGACATATATTTTGAATTAGCATTAAGGCCTTAATAAAATCTTTTCAGGATACTGTACACTGTAGTTCTTTTTCCTAGTCGGCAATATACTATGGAAGGTTTGAAGTTGAGTGAGACAATAATAAGGCATATATTGTTGAAACTGAATGTTTTGGAGCTTGTGGAGCTCTATGTAAAGAACCTGTCTTTGGGAGAGCTAAATAAAAATTTCTAAGCTGATAATAAGATAACCATTGACCCTGTATATGATCGGTATTATCGAACAATACCAAAAACGGTGCCAAAATCTCTGTGCCATGTTCAAGATAAAACATTAATATTGATTTAGGCCTCATAATAAGAGATTTTTTAAATTTAGCTTGTAACGGAAGCCTGAAAGACAGATTCAGTAAGTATTTGCAAAGCATTTAACAAGCTTTGAGCAGTTTTCTTGAACAGCTCCAGGGTATGAAAATTGAGTAAATAATTTCATGGGAATGCTGCCGTAGCTTTAAACAAAGTAATAAATATCTGCTAAAATGTGTTTAAAGCAACAGCTAGCACTTTGATTGGGACCTATATTCACTGCTCCCCATCTGTTAAGGAATTTGATCTTTATGGGCTTCAATGGGCTCAAAACTTGTTAAAGGAAGCCCATCAGTGTAAAAATATGGGAGGAGGCATTTGTGTCTTGTTCTTGAGGGTGCATGGTCTAAGATGATCAATCTGATTCTGGCTTCACTACTCAGTCACTGACCTGGAAAAAGAATTAGCATATCTGGTGTTCTCAAACCTTATATACACAGGATTCTTCCAGGTCCATAATGTAATTTCCTGCTTGTGTGATTGTCTCACTGATTCGCAATTTTTGGTGAGATACTCCCAAAGGAAAATCACATTTAAAGGGATGCAGACCTTGCAAATTTCCCATTAGAGCCCTGCAGGTGCAGTAGCTGATTGATAATTATAAAAACCACTCACATACAGATTCACTCTGCACATGGACAGAGAAAAACAAACAAGTATTTCTTCAGAATAACAAAGTGTGTTAAAATCCTTGCAATTTACATAGATCACCCAGAGTTTTTTTTTTCTTAACAAATGTGGAGTTACTCTTTAAATTCAAAATACTAACAACAACTTACAAAAATACATCCACTATTCTGCCCCAAGCTATATCACTAACCTAGTCTCAAAATACTAACCATATTGTTCTCTGCATTCATCCCAAGACCTCTCTAGCTCCCTTGTCACCTCCTCCCATGCTTGCCTCCAAAGACTTCTCCTGAGCCTCCCCAATCCTTTGGAACTCTTTACCCCTATCAGTCAGACTTTCTCCTACTCTGTCAACTTTTAGACAATCCCTGATAACCCTGTTAGAGATGCCTATCCTACCTCCACTTAACAACTGTACGTTTGTTTTCTCCATCAGCTCATCCCCCACAGTTATTACCTTTTGTATCACTTGACCCTCTCTTTTAGATTGTAAGCTCTAACCAGCAAGGCCTTCTAATTCCTCTTGTACTGAATTGTATTGTAACTGTACTGTCTGCTCTCATGTTGTGAAGCACTGAACAAGCTGCTAGCAGTATATAAATTCTGTATAATAATAATAATAACAACAGATAGTGCAGGTTACTGATGATGCAATAACACTTGCTGGGAATAACTTGCTGGTAACAAAAGAATATTCCAAGTTTTGGCTAATTCAAATGTGTTGACAATACAGTACAGTGTGAACCCAGGTCAAAGCAGAGCCTAAAAAAGATCTTTTAAATACAGTAAACGTGTACTGACTCTAACGCTCTTCAAAATAACATTCACAAGGAAAGTTTTAATGGAAATTATGTATAGTTTTAAGTCATTTTTATTTCCATTTTTAGTTTTTATGCTTTTTATAAACTGACCTGAACAGCAGATCAAATTACAGGCTTTTTACAGCAAATGGTAAAATGACAGCAAATGTGGTGCAAAATTCATTCTAATGCACCTTCTGCTGACGACAAATGGTAAATATTAAATATTTTATGGAATGTTCCATATAAGCTCGGCTATACTGAAAAAAACCCCAATTGAAATATGTTGTATATAAATTTTAGTTCTGGACAGAATAAAGAAAAAATATACAAAATGCTATACAATCTTTCTAAACAACGTCCTTGTGTACAAAGTCTTATACAGGGCAGTGATATACTGGCTTCCTTTCTTTTTATCTCTTTTTTATACTTCCCAAGATAACATTAAACATCAGAGATTTACAATTATTACAAGCCTATAAGAA